TTCAAGGTGTGATGCATCAAAACACATGTGGCCAGGCGACCTGGGAGCCATTCTCAACGCAACGAAGAATTTGAGGGAAGATGTGAGTCTAACTCTTCTAGGAAGGAAAATCATACAGGGATGTTTCACAAGAACGCTGGGCTATGAATACTTTCACCCCAGGCGGGACTCGAGTAGCATCTCTCGCTTACTGGGCAAGGACGCTACAAGTTACGGGATGGGTTTGCGGGTTCTAGCCCCGCCTGGGGCGAAAGTTTTGTTCACAACCCAGCATTCTTGTGAAACATTCGCAACACGAACTGCGGCGTTAAACAGCAGTTAACAAAAAAAAACTTTGGACACTAGTCACAAACTTCAAAGGTGCAAAAAACTGTAAAGATTCCAGGAACTTCAGTTATGAAAGTCTTTAGTCTCCTGATCAAGAAAAGCATACAGTCGTGGCATAGGCAGAAGGCTTGAGGCGCAAATTTCTTCTCCCTCCAAACTTTTGCATGGGGTTATTCTGGCCCAACCTGTAGTCAAATTAAGCCAGCTCTCGAAATGGCTGCCATACTATGTAGGATCAGCGGCATCTAATCCGGTTCTAGTGAACTTCTGCAAGAAAATGAAGAAAGCTGACCAAAACGGAATACAAACATGCGAACTACTCCAATATGTTGCTCTTTGTGCGGTCGGATAGTAAAATGAATGACAACCCCTCATGGGATACGCCGCGCATTCCCACTTCATTTCGAAGTTATACGTTATAGCATCTGAATACAATTGACCTCTACAATAAAATGTGGTGCCAAACAATGTATGAGTCAGGCATTTTAGGCCGATGTCAGACTTTGCGAATCGCGCGATTCGCTAGCGTCTGCGGTCGCGTCGCGGCCAGTGAATCACTCAATTGGCTGGTACCGCAACGCGACCGCGGACGCTAGCGAATCGCGCGATTCGCAAAGTCTGACATCGGCCTTACCCCCCCCCCACCCCCAAGCGGTTCTACACTGGTGTGCAAAACTCAAGGACGAACGTAACTTTTCCATGACTGTTGCTGACGAGTAACGTAACTCTTTGGAACCTTAACACATATAGAAAGAGCTGCTACAGCGCAGTACAGAGAGCAGTTGAAAGGAACAGTCAAACGGTTCGAAAGAGCAATTACGTTAAGTTATGTCACTTCAGCTTCCCTCGTCTTTAGTTCTGCACACCGGTGTAGTACCATTTTTGCTACCTCGAAAGCGCAGAAGAGGTTTTTTGTGGCCTGGAAGAGATTCTGGGAAAGGTTTGATCGCAACGAGGAACGCATAGCAAGTAGCGCAAAGTCTCGCTATACCGCCGAAGCCCGGAATATGGTAGATACTGTGTATAAATATCTGAAACATAGAGTAAAGGCAATTATATTGAAATGAATTCAGTGGTACTACCAGTGCCTTTTTTCCTTGCTTTACTACCCTTTTCATACTCTCCAAACTTTTTTGGAGAAACTGTTGATTTTCTGACTAGACAATGTAGACTTGTAGGTAAAACGAACGCCAAAACAATTCCCGGTTCTGGAGTTCTCGATCTCAGTTTCGACAGACCTTTCCTACTTGAATTTTTTTTAGATTTTCGGTTCTAATCAGCGCCCATTTGTTGTACACGAAGTCATTGACAGGGGTGGAGAGGTAAGTGAGAACACAAGAATTAGTATGAGGCAGGGCAAATCGAAATCCACAAAATCAAAGTTCAATGGACCGCATACCTTCAATAAGTGAGCAAATAGTTTCCGTTCAGGTATACAAACTTCAACTTCGGCGCCGCCGTTTCATCAGCCGCCAAAGGACAAAGCGACTGGAAGTGAGTTGCTGAGACCTTAACTCGGAAGGAAAGGAAAGGAGTGGAGGGGGGTTGAACGTCATTTTGCGCGTGCACCAACACCCACAGACCACCAAAATGAACTGTCCGAGAGACGTTCTTATCGCGCGATAGAAATGGAATCACGTCCAAATTAAACTTTTTGCGCCGGTCTTCTGAGAAGTAACTTCTGTCGCTTTATGATAATATCATTAATATTTTTGATAAGTCACCAAAGTTGTTCAAACTTGTCACTTTTAGGCTGCTCGCTCATCTGGGCCCTGGCTACGGGTATGGCAACAACGCAGACAACGAAGTACTGAACTTCATAGACAACCATGACAACCAGCGGGATTCCAACCCTATGTGGTACTTTTTATGCTTTTTTGCGGCATTATTTCTAGTTGCTTCTCAAAATGTAATGAGAGGTGATGGTTGCTCTCAAAGATTAGTCGGAGTAAGTGAAAATCAGAAAACCAAAGTGTGCGTTAGCTCATCATAGTGAATCGGGCTGCCTGGTACGGTAGATGGTCAATTCGTTTACTACTGACGAAGAACACCAAGGTATGTGTAAGATATGACCTTTAGTAAACGCAACAGTCCCAGCAAGGTCTTTACTCTGACGGTGTGGAACGATGCGCTAGCCCTAGTCAAGAACATAAGAAGTGTGACTGAACAAAAAACTCACCTTGGAAAGCCGCTAGAAAGGGAGCTGAACAGCTTCGAAGTGGGCGTGGTTGTGCAATCCTCTAGCCGGTTCCAACTACGCCCACTTCGAAGCCGTATCTAAAACCCACTTTGGAAAGCCGAGCCAAAGGTTCAGCTTCTAGCGGCTTTTCAAGGTGAGTTGGACCATTGGTGCTAAACGTAAAAACCCTGCTGAACTTTTCACAAGAATACTGGGTTGTGAACAAAACTTTCGCCCCAGACGAAACTCGAACCCGCACCTTTCGCTGTTCCGGGCAAGTGCGCTACCAGTTACACTACAACTTTCCATGTTCGGGCGGCGCCGGCTACGGGTTACCTTACCGGCGGCAATTTTTCATTCCAATTCGTTTTCTAGTATGAGACTGTGGCCTAAACAGCAGTTAGCAATCAAAACCTGCTGAGGTTTATCCCCCCCCCCCCCCCCCCCCGCCCCTCGTACTGAAATTTAAATGAGGTCTTATGATCCCGGCACTGACAGCTTGTGATCATAGAAAATGTAATGTATGTGTGAGTTGTACTTTCTGACACTTTGTCGACAGTCGCAGGAAAAGTAGAGTCCTGCCCTGCAAAAGCATAGAAACCAGCCAAAATTGTATTCTGCTTAGAAATGCTTGATTTTGTTTTGAGTTCTGAAGTTTTGAAAATACGTACAATTTTAGGTCACCTATAAAGATGGAGTAGTATCGCTTTTGCTATGGCTTACATGGGGTTGCGTGGCCTATGGTTCTTTGTTGTAATGAGCGTTTGTTACCTGCAATGAATCAGGCCACCAATTCTGGCCATGCATGGTTTTGCGGTCCGTTTATTTGAAGGATATTCATTATTGCCATAAGATTTTGGAACTTTCTTCATGGCCTTGTTTTGGCGATCTTTCTGAGGTTTGCACCGCGAGACTGTTACGCATCTTGGCCAACGTTCAACAGCCAGGGTCGACTTGTGCCGATTTGGATGGGTTATGCGCATCCGGTGGCCAAAATAAGGTGGTAGAATGGTTTGGGTCCAAAAAGTTGTCACTTTTTTCTGATTTAGGAGAATGACCAAAGTTCCGCATCGGCCGTGCAGGGAATGCTGCACAGCGGTGGGTTGCGTGCGACAGCGATTTTTTGATGGTGCTTAGCTGCTTGCAGATCTAGCTTTTCAGTAGGGAAAATATTCTTGGACACAGTTTGTCGATTTTGAGTTTTTACTGAGTATTAAAGATTTGCTTGTTATTATGTTTGTTCCCTGCGACGTCAAGTTTCCGTTGTTTTCCTATTCTCGCATTATCAGGGCCAGTCTTGCTGTAAGTTAGTCAGTGAATTGAGGAGCCACAGGTCAGAGTTAGCCATGGTCGAGGACTCTTCATGTGTGGTCTTGTTGGTAGGAGGGGTCGGATGGAACCGGATAGGTGTGGAAATGAAGTAGCGAACAACAAAACCCTTCCAGCTTTCACAAGAACCACTACATTACCACCCCCAAGCACGGCGTGCAAAACGTGGTCTGCGGGCTGGCAAGCCTCCACTAACCCTACTCCTGACTGCAGTTTTGTGAGACTTTTTCGTGCGAGTTGGAGTGATCAAAACGCATCGGCATTTGGGTGGTGGCGGAGCAGGATGGGACCGTAACTCGATTGGCGTCGTCGGAACGGGGGTCAATGCCAAGATTTCTGACGCGGATGTCCTCTGCTAGGTGCTCGTATATATAGGGGAAATTTAAGAGAAGAGCCGTTGATTGATAGCTTGGACAAGCCTAAACGAATGGGAGAAGATCGTGAACGATGTGATCGATTTTCGTTGTCCCTGATGCTTCTCCCTTGGGCTTATAGTTGCTATTATGATGGTTTCCAGAGGCCTCTTAGGTGAGTGTTCTCCTGTCTACAAGGCCTATTGAGTGCCTCTGATAGATTGGCATATCGCTCATTGGCCATAAAGGATACCAGGCGATGTGAGGCCAACAAACTGTTGACCAAGGGGGGAGTTTGCGATGGAAGTGTCAGTTCAGGAATCAAATGGGGTAGTTAGTATTGCAAGCATGTAGAGAAAAACGACGACATAGATCAAAATGTGGCCCCTTCTTTGCCTGTTGATTTCCGCATTGATGAGACCCTCATCGGTGCTGCATTCTTCAACGCTAATGCTCTCTTTGTTAAAGGACTAGAGTCAGACGGCGAGGAGCTACCTATCGGTGGGCGTGTAGAGGTGGTTACGGAGGGTGGGCTGAGGTGGGTACGGCGCGGGTATGGCCCTAGTAGGAAACTGAGGGCGTACTCTTCACTACGAAACGCGCATCGTCCCGCACCCTCAAAGGGCCCGTCTGTCTCTCCGCCACGAATATTTCCCCTCCTTCGATCTTTGACCTTATCATTGGAACCCTCCTTTAGTAATCTTCTGCTGAAAGTAGTGAGCCATTGTCATCAATCGCAAATTTTATTCAGATATTTACCGATTATCAACGAATTGCTTTTGCCAGGGAAGGAAAAGGATTTTTCGCTCTCAATGGAAACAGCAGTCCCTTCAGCAAGTGAGTTCATGAAGCAATGAATTTTTCTAAGTTTTTTGGGCCTCATAGCTTTCCATGTCTCAGCGCAGCTTGGAAAATTACATACTTGCAATTTTCGGTATTCGTCGTCACTTCACTTGTGAACGCCAGCAAAACCATTAATTTCTGATTTTTGTGGTGAGGGCCAATCATTCTTAGGTAATGTACCAACTCGGGGTTTTTCCGTAGTACCTGGATAAGCGGTCGTGAATGGGAGTGGGTCCTGGTGATGGAAGAGGAAATATCCGTACATAGAGAAGAGTTTGTTTTCTGGACTAGAAAATTCTTCACCAGAACTCGATGAAATGGCTGAAAATGAAGGTCCAACCTCACGCAGAGAAAATTCACTAGTGCTCTGAAATGCCGCTTGGGCGATTAAAGCCAAAAACACAGTAGATTATGAGCGAACCCTTTTCGAGAATTCGAGAAATTCTAACTATGATTCTCAATTAAAATCAGATTCTTCCAAACAACAATGCCCGCTGGTGATTACTGTGATCCAATATGCTGGCAGCCTGCAGAATGGTAAATGCACAGGTCAAACGATCACTGTAAGAGATGACGGTGAGCGATTTCAACTACAGAATAAGCTTTGAAGCTCCCCAGGTCAAATTTCTAGGGTCACATAGGTCGATGGTGGAGTCGTAGATGCCGAAGAATAGAACTGAAAAACGAAAAAGAACAGAAAAAAAATGAAAATCGCCCATGAAGCTTCAAAAAGGGATGCTCCTCGATGTAAGGAAGGGCGGGACCAGACGGCTAGAATCATACGATATTGCCTTTCCACGGCTTAAAGGCAAAAGTCGGGCTCAATAAGGAGGTATTATGGCGATTGAAACTGAGAGTGGAGAAAAAAAAGAAAAACCGTCGACAAGGCCGTTAACAAAACCTCTTTCCCCACTAGCAATGAAGGAGGCTGGCTTGGGGAAGAGGCACGTACAAACAAGTTTTCTGAAGATATCAGTCGTTCTATCGGTTGATACGGCAATCAACCTAGCTGATTTCACACGTTATGCCACATCCCGAGGTGGGCGGTCGTAGCGGGGCCAGGCGGCGATAGCGCATAGTACATGCCCTGGGGCCTTATTACTGCGCCGTTTCGGGTTTTGAGTGTGGGAACATCTCTACGGGTGCGTAACCAAGTACAGGCATGACCGAAAGGGTTGGTTTGGTCAACTAATCCCGACCTCCTTTATAAACTCTCATATTTGAACTTAGCGCTTACCGTGTAGTTCCACGTGGGTATCTGTGTGTATGCCCGGACGTAACTCATCCGACGTTAGGAAGTATTGCCAGCAGTTCATTGTATAAGCCTAGAGCTTTCGAGCGCCCCAAACAGAAATCTGTGGTTTGGGAGTATAGGTGGGCTACTATTCCTTCACTGATATATTCTTCGGCTGACTCTTACTGGGGTGACTTCTACTGGGGGTGTTGCTTTAGGAATAGCAGGATCTCAGATTCTAAACGTTCCTGCTTGAAAGAGTTTTGAAATATCTAAATCGTCATTACTCTTGTTCAGGTACCGCCTTTGTACAAATCAATAGCAAACAAGCTGTCGCACTTTCTCACTTGCTTTCGAATAGAGTATTTGTGTCAATTTTTCTGAACAAATCAAAATATCATAATCATCATGCTACAAGGTGGAGGCACCGGAAAACTACGCCCGGATTGATCAAAAAGGACCTTATATGTCATCAGGAGAACTATCAGGGTTCAAAATATTTTTATCGGTGGGTGGTGTCAGTCCGCACAAAACGGGTTAATGAGGGGTTTTAGCACGTAACTTTTATTAACATGTTTTAGTTGCTTCCCGGACAAATCAAAAAGGCGGAATGATTCATGCGTTATTCTATTGTGCCAATATTTTGTGCCTTTTGTTCTATGCCGAATACATTTCTTGGAGTCAGGGAGATCAATATCTGGACTTCGAGGGATCTGAAGAGAGACAAGGTTTGCACATTTTTTCATTATTTGAACCATTTGGAGCTATTTTCACCTTGAATGTTCCCTCTTGGTGTACTGATCTTCTGGAGTGAGTATGACAATTCCTTCAGGTTTGCAAGTTCTGACAAGATCAGTGGTAGATTAAAATGTCAACACGATGGCGCAACTTGTCGGAAGATTCAGTTCACTTATTTGTCAGGGCCAGGTCGAGTGGCACGATCATTGAGCTAAGTTGTGCTATGGCTTTAGGTTAGGCTTGTGGATAACCATTGGTTTAGAGGTTACAAGCTTGGTTGTTGGTTGGTTATGGGCTTAGGTTTTACTGCTGCTTGCGGTACATGACTGTTGTCCTAAATAATTGGTGGTGACTGACAGGGGAAAGCTTCATGGTGCGCGATTGGCCATTCAAGAAGGTGATGCCCACCGTAGATGTGCCTTTGACGTATTCGGATCTAAATACTTCCATCTGTAAACGATTTTCTGAAGGGAGTTATGAGCAAAACAGCGCAGGGCAGTGGTCGGGATTTGCAGTCAAACGTCGTAGGATCAGCCTGATCGCGTCTACTGTTTTGCTTTTTCAGTAGTACAGCTAAAGGCTTTTAATAGCCTATTCAGCCTAATTCCTGAAGAACGCAAGACAGTAAACGCGATCAGGGGCCGATCCTACGACGTTTTGACTGCAAATCCCGACCACTGCCGTTGCGCTGTTTTGCTTCATAACTCCATTCAGAGAATCGTTTAGCAGATTTGGAAGGTAGATTTGAGATCAGCGTTCAAAGGCACATCTAGCGGTATACATCTCTTCTTGAATGGCCATGGCGACCTGGGAGCCTTTCCTTGTGAAAAGGAGTGGTGACACCCACAACTTGGAGTGCCGTTCATTCCAGTGATTCTGTGAAAAGGGTCAAGTTCTCCGCAGGGGCCAGATTTGCGAGAGTCAACCTGATCCGCTCGACTACATCACTCTTTGTTCTCATCTGCTCTGTTTTACCCAGAAGCTTACAGCTGCATTAGATGCTGAGGCAGGTGCTATATCTGGTTGCTGTCCGACCTTTCGCGCTAACAATAAGACCATGGAGTTACAGGTACACTGAGCGCAAAGAACATAATGGAGCGCCTGATTCAGTGAGAAAAAAATACTCACGGTATACTACATATCAAAGTGATAGTCCAATCTAACAACAACTCAGATAGACCTGCAGGGGAAACCTCCGAGTTACGGGCCGCAGCAGTGTCGGCACGCCCACTAGTCTATGACTGGCTGGCTCGCGTCTGCACACAGTAACCCGTGTGCTGCCGACACTGCTGCGGCCCGTAATTCGGAGGTTCCTCCTGCAAGCCTGCAAGTCTTCGATCCCCATAGCATGAGCTTTCCTTTCACAGGAACGTACGATGGTGCCGCTCCTTTTGGTACTCCACTGGCGTATTCAACGAACGATGCTACAGCTATAGAATATCAGCCTTACAATAAATATGGAAGTGGTTATTGGATGGTCCAACTCCTGGTCGATTGTAAGAAGACTGATCAAGGCTGGTTCGAACTCAAGGTGAGCAAGAATTTCCATAACAAGAACGTAGTAATCACAAGATGCATCTTTTTCAGGGATACCTTTCGCCGTCGGTCGGTTGGGAACAAGATATTAGTCAGAAGAAATGTACCGGCGCAGTGGGCGGATCCGCACCGTTTTCGTCGAAAAATCACGTCGCAAAATGTGGAGCGGTTAATGTGTTCACATGGGGTGGTGGTGACTGTATAATAGATTCTGTCTGAGTAATTCATGATTACTGAATAAATAGCAAGCGTCTCAGCGGAAGAACTCGTATTTTCGTATTATTTACTTTTTTGTGTTGTTATTTTTCGTATTATTTTACTTTTTGAAATGCCTTTTTTTCGAACCCGGAAGTACATTACATTATCACAGTTCCATGAGACAA